AAGACTTATTGGAGTGGAAAGAAGCTGGCTTGTGGGCTGGAAGTCTCCAGCATGCCATTGCTTCTGTAAGTCCTGGTGAAACTGAGGGCTTGAGAGAGAACTCCGGCCATTAGCTGAGGGTTTATAGCACTGTGGGCAACGAAGGGGAAAAAGCAGGGCGATCACTATCACTAATGATGCATTTTGCAATTTTTGGGCGATGCATTTTTACTTGCGTGGTGCCTAGCTGCTTCCCAGGCTGCATTCCGCGATCCTTTTTGCCTTCGACCAAGTACTGACCAAGTACTCTTTTTTTGGTGGCCTTTCTAGCATTTCATGTTGATTAGTTTTTATTGATCTCGATCATTCATGAAGAGATCACAAGGGACACTGTGGCTTCTACAAAAGTGTGTCGAAGTTGTCCTATAGTGCCCCGCCTTGAGGCTTGGTGCACGCTGTCTGGCTTCATTTCCTCGAAAAGGACATGAAATGTGGTTCATGCGGAATGCATTTTACACGACAGTCTTTCACATTCAATGCATTGTGTTTGATGCAGATTTGTTGGGTTCTTTACAGATGTCACTTCCTGCTATCAACAACCTCAGTGAGTCTTCGCCTCATTTTTTGATTGAATTGAAACACCATTTCTTGGGTGGAGCCTTTGCGCAAGCCTTGTCACAGGTCTGAAGAAGAAATGCCGGCTTTGAAGACCCGGGAGATCCCTACATCGAAGCCGAAGGCGAACCATCATCAATACCGCCTACAGAACGTTTTTCTATTCTCACAGGTTTGCAGCAATTGTCCGGTATCAAGACCAAGCAACTTGCCAGTGTCTAAGACATGTTGTATGGTTGCCAGGCCCTGGTGAAAAGAAAAAGAAATGCGCGCAAGGTTATTAAGAAGGTTGTGAAGAAGGCTGAGTACTGGAGTTTTGCAGTTTGCTATGTCAGGCAGAATCAATGAACATACTGTCATGCTCTCCCTAATCTACTAACTAGCCTGGTTCAAGTTTGATGTGGTCTTTTGCGTGAATTGGCGCTTTCGGCTGCAGAACGCAACCTGGAAGAATGGAAAGCTGGGCTTGCTGACTTCCATCAAGCAGGCGAGGAGGACGTCAACAATTTGTCTTGATCAAAGAACTTGAGAGTTCAACATTGCTGTCTTGCGCCAGTTTCCGGCCCACGGCTACATCTTGGCGAACAAAAGGCACGTGCACTCTGTCAGGGTGCCGCTCCAATCAGCTAAGCCATTGAACCTGAAGGTGGCCTAGGTCTCAGCCGCCCTTTCCACATGTTGCATGTCAGTCTAGGCCCATGACAAACAGAATTCATGAGGTGGTCAAACAGGGCGTTGGCCGAAAGCGAAACGGGGCGGTTCTGTTCAACGGGACCCGCACGGTGAAAAGCTGGCCCACAATCCGCTCGGGGCTTGACCGGTTTCAGATTGTTTTTCTCGATAGCGCAGCTGCTCAAGGTTGCTTCAGTGCTACAACGACGGTGACAGCTTCAGGCGTCTCAAAGCGTGGCATAACGGTTTTGGCCTTGGAATTCAAAGTCCAGTTTTACGAAACATGAAAAGTAGATGTCCGAACATGGTAGTGACGTTTTGTGGGCTGCAACCTGTTCTGTCAACCAGACTTGTGGACATTGCTCAGGATCTTGCGAATGTGGTTTTCCACAGCGAGAGGTATCGCGAGGAGAAACACAAATCCGGTGGTATCGCTGGAACGGAGCGCTTTCTCTCCGTCTCAGCCGCCGAATGGTTTTCAGGCGCCGGATTCATGTTCAAGCCCAATAACTAATTCATTAGATTGTTCATCGTGTCAGGTTTGCCGGGTGGGTGGACCGCCAATGAGAAAGTGTTTTCCCCCAAAGATGTGAAAGCTGTCCGGCAGATGTTCGAAGCTGGAGCCAGTGCCCAAGTTGCGCAATTGAGCAACAATTGTGGGATTCATTCCTTCTTCCTCAGGGACCAGGGCGCCGCATCCCTTGCGTCTCCTTGTTCAGTGGCATTGCGGCCCTTGATTTGGGCATTTCCAGGTCAAGGGCTCAACAAACAAGTTCACAGTTCCTTGTGTTGAGACGAGTTCACCGTGTCGTCGCTGTACACCAAAGCTGTTTGAGATATCAAAACGCCTTGAATCCTGGATCGGTGTCCCATGGATTGCTTCCAGACAGTTCGAACAGTGGGAGTTAACCAGATTCGGATTCTTGGACAGATCATTTGCTTTCAAGAATGAAATTGCAAGAGATCTCAAGTATGTTCAGCAAACGAATCAACAAACAGACTTTTTACACAGCTCAGGGTAACGCGTGGCGCTGTTGTTTGGTGTCGCTGGCGTGGATCTGTGCTTCTTGACGGAATGTGATTTAGTTCTGCAAGATGGCACCATTTAGAAGCAGGCAGCAGGCAGACTCATAAAAGATAGGCGTCGGGCGGCGTATTTCATTCATGTGAAGGTGGCGTTGGCGAGCCAGTGGCTGGATTGAGACCGAGGAGAGCGACATACAGTTAGCAGCGCAGTCGAAAGGTCAATGTCGTGTGGAGGCCTGTTTGTTTTTTCATTGCTCAGGAAATCACATGACACTCACCATGCTTCGTCCCAGTACTTGTAGTGTGGTTCCTCCCAGGAAGGATTGAAGCCGTCTAGGGCAAGTGAGCAGTGTGACCGGGGCATGCCTAATGCGAGTGAGCCTGCTCCGAAGCGAGCACGGTAAAAACGAGATGTGGATGTTTTCAGCTGCTGCTCCTTATTCGATTTGGATTGGAACATTTTCTCCTTCAAGACTGGCGCGCCTGAGGAATTTTGAGTGCCTCGAATTCGTTCATGCCTCAGGTTGTTTGCTGTGTGAAGAGATGTCCTGTCTTGGATAATATCTTCAGGTGGAGTTGGATGAGAATTGCCAGAACATTTTGCGGTGGAGACAGGTTGAGGGGCTCATCCCTCATTGCCCCATTCAAAACGATGTGACGACCTATTGTCCATGTCCCAAAGCCAAAGATGAAGCACAAGCCGTGGTGGCTGGATTCCCCTGTCAGGTCATCATCCCAGTTTTTTTTCTCGACTGTGGTTACTGGTAGACTTAGACCCTTCTTGTTCATTCTTCGCTTGCAGGGCATCTCCCAGGCGGGGGAACAAAAGGGGTTGAACGACAAAAGAAGCTGCTTGATTCGAAGTGTCTTTGACATCTATGACAAATTGCCCCGTGCGTTCCATGCTTAGTGTGTTTAGCTTGAAGCCAATACGACAATCTTAAATTCAATTGGTGAGACTCAGGCACATGATGTTGTTGGAAAACGTTGGAGCTCTCCTATCCCAGCAAGAGGAATGCCGACGTCTTTGGATGTTCATCTTGAAGGCTCCGGGCTTGCCGTTGTTCTGGAATGCTGTTGTTCTGGATGTTTGGGAATGCCGTAGTGTGCCAGGAAGGCAGAAAGAGACATTTGGACATCTTCTGGACAACTATTTGCTTGCGAAATGTGGGCCTAGCAGTCCGTTCCTGAACACCCATTTGGTTATTGTGTAGTCCTGTGAGTATCATGTTTGTAGTGTCTTGCGTCAGTTGATTCTCAGGCAGGGCGCCGCCGAGTCTTCATTTTGTTGACTGAGCACGGTAGCGCATTGCCACAGGAGTTTGCGAGTAGGGGTTTTCTTCGGTGCGGCTTTGAGAAGTTCTGCGTCCTCCAAACTTGCGAGGACGGCTCCCAGATCGATGACTGGACTTCAAAAGCGTGGAACCCTTTGAACGATGCGACGATTGCTGACTGGTTGACTGACCGAAGAAGCCAGGACGATAAGAATCGCCTTAAGACCATGGGAAATTTGGTCGTTCCTGTTCAGGCGAGGCTCTCCCAAACTGTTTTGTCCCAAATGCAGACCTTGGTTTCTCAGCAAAGCTGAGTGTGTTTTGTCATAGGGCAAGCTATGATGACAGATTTTGGCAAAGGTGTTCGTGAATGCCATATTGCTATGATAGGAACTTCTGTGCAGGCAGAAATTCAAAAGAGCGTAATTCGAGCCAACATTGACCTTGCGACGATTTAAAATCTGGCGTGAGTTTAATGTTGAATCAACTGGCCAGGACAGCATGGAGGTGGAGAGACTGTTGAATTTGATATTGGAATTTGCAGCGCTGTTTTTGTGAACAGTCCACCAGTGCATCGTGTCGCATGGTTCTATTTTTACCAGCAAGTCGAAATGTAATGCCCATTCAATGTCCCTGCGACCAGTGACTTGCAGATGTGGGGAACCTAAAACTCGCCGAGCATTTCTTCGGATTCATGTTGCGTGGTGGCAGCCTCCCGTGTTGTGTGGTTTGACGTGAATGTCTTTGCCACCCGTGTCTGACTTGACAGACGAGTCAGATGGGGAAAAAGGACCGATTCCATCTTGCTCGCAGAAATCTCCTCGCCTACCCCCTGTGAGTGCACTGTCCGATTCCGACACTGCTGATGATGGCAGCCTTGCACCGGGAGCCAAGCAGAAACGCAAACGCGTCTCCAAGAAAGCTGATTCTGATGGTGTCACCCTCAGGGATCGTCTTTGTTCTGAAGAGACTTTAGTTTCTTTGGTGGGCAAGAACTGCAAGAGATGTCGGGGAAACTGCTTGCACCATTTCCAGCAAGTTTTCCAGTTTCGCGAACTCCAACGCTATCGTGCCCACTGGTCTGAATTGCACAAAACGGATCAAGATCAATATGCCTTTTGACAACAAACAGAAGCACCTTTTTTCTAGTTGCCATTGTAATGTGTGTTGAATGTCGCAATGGCGCAGTCACTGGCCAACTTGCTTGCAGGTTTTTGATGCCATAAAGGAGGCAGTCACTGAAGCCCAGCGACAAGAGAGCGAAACAGTTCAGTGGTCTTTTTTGGGGCGGCCAGTATGTTTGGAAGCTTGGAAGAAGCTTCGTGGTATTGGCTTCTCATCCGAAGTATAACAAACATTTTTTGTGCCCAGCCGTGCCAGTTGGATTTCAGTCTCCTTTTGGAAATTCTTTGATAATGAGAAGAGTTTGCGCAGGTTCTGGGCGCTTCAAACGACTGCGCAAAGCAGTCGAGGAAGGCAATTCATCACCACCAGTTGATTTGCGTTACCTCAGGCGACCATTGGCTCGGTTGGATGCTGAAAGTTGCCGGGCTCGCATAACTAGCTTTTTGGAAGAGATCTACCAAAGCGTGGCAGAGAACCTACCGGACGTCAAAGACTCCACTGCAGATGATGTTGAGTTGACTTTGCACACAGCAGATGGAATCGAAGAGGACCAATACACTGTGGCATTGAGCGAGGATGCTTTGGTGAGCGTGCCAGCGCCTCCAGGGAGTGGCAAGAAAAGGATTCGTACTTCTATCAAATCTGTGAAGATCAGTGATGACCGACACCCCTCCAAATCGATGTTGGAGATCCGCTGGCTGCCTCCCGGTCGAATAATCGACTACTGGAATCAGCTGCGCGCTGCGCACCCCAGTGAGAAGGTGGCATTTTCATATTTCTGGAAAGTGCCCTGTCTGGATTCATGGGTTCACAGAAACGCGTCGTTCTTTATGTATTTTGAACTTTCATGGCCGTTCCACAACATACATGGGTCAGGTTTGGTACGAGGAGTACCCTCATTTGAAGTTCCGTTGCGAGTCCTCCCACAGCGTACGCAGCACCTGTGTCCGCCACAGGGCGCTTATCAAAGGGTTGGGCTCGCACCTCAACGCGCGCACAGCTCAGATCCTCAAATATACTGAGCATCTTAGGATGCAATACCGCGATCGACAGATCTATTGGTCTGATCGCGGCCAAAGCCGACTCCGTGGATCTGTTATTTCTGTCATAATCGACTCGATGGACCAAGCGAAATTTGCACTGCCAAGGGGAAGCGCTATGAAATCCAAAGACCTCTCAGGTCTGAACCGTCCCAAGTGCCACATCACCGCCGCTTTGGTGCATGGCCACTGTCTATTAATAACAGTGAGCGATCAGGACATCCAGAAGTCATCGTCTACCATGATAGATATTTTAGCCCACACGCTCACAATGTTGCAGCTTCGTGGAGTGCCGTTGTCGGCCTGCACCCTGAAGGTGCAGGCCGACAACACTGTTCGGGAAATGAAGAATAATCCCTTTTGCCGCTTTTTGGGATCCATGGTGGCGCACTCAAAGCTGGCGAGTGCCTCGCTCACCAATTTGGTGAGCGGGCACTCGCATGAAGACATTGATCAAGTATTTGGCCAATTGGCGCAGTGGCTGATCAAAACTTGTAGGACCGCAGAGTGCCCAACCGACTTCACCCAGGCCATTGACGCTTGGCTTGCCCAGCTTCCACGACCTCACGAGAAGGGCCGTCACTGCGTGAGGCTGTCCTGTGTGCGAGACTGGATCTTTGCCTTCAATCAGTCGGATTGAATCGCGTGAGCCGAAACATTGTTCCCTATAGAGGGATATTTGAAGGAGTGGTTTGTGGGTCCCGCTGGAACACGTTTCTGGGACCCACAAGGTGATGTTTTGACAGCACATCGTTTTGATTCTCCTGTGACATTTTTTTTGAGGAAAGGGTGGCTCGCCGAGGGCGTCCCTGTCATGGTGAAAGGGCTTGCTGGGCCAGGGGCCCCCCACGTGCTGCAATTCGACAGACGGGAGAATTTGAGCGCTGTGGTTGGATTTAATTTGCAATAGTTTGGAGACCTTTTTTATGAACCAACTCACTGACAAGCGGGTGTTCTATTCTTGATTTCTTGCAACCTGAGGCCTGCCCCAAGATCCTGAAAGCCATTGGGGCCTGGAACCGCATGGTCATGATGTCATCCTCAGGATTTGACGCAGTTGTTTAAAATCATTATGTGGTGCAATTCATGCTAGCTGCTCCTGAAACCTGCTTTTTGCCGGAGTCGGCGAGGACCAAATTGTTCATGTCCGACACAGACTGGCAAAGCCATCATGTGTACTACCCCAGAGCCGTAGCCCTGGCACGGATGCCGTTAGGCCTACCAGCAGGCGCTTGCGCGTCGAGTCAACTCTGTGGAGGTTGAACCTATATAGAAATATATTGATGTACGCAAAAGTGCTTTTGAACTATGGTGTGCCTTAAAAGAATCAACATGCTGTGATGGTGGAGTGACGCTTGACATGGTCGTGCCACATATTATGTTGTCGTACTTTCATGTTGCATGGGTCATCAGTGGCCCAGGCTCTTGTGTGCGTTTGTATTTGGCAGGGCTTCTTCCAAGAAATCCTCTTGGCAAAGACTACGTGGAGCACATTCGCAAGCACCTTCCGATTCTCGAGTCGTATGGTTTCAGCAAAGCAGTCAGGTATTTACGTGAATGGATCGATGGTTGCTATGAAGCACCGGTACCATTGGATGTTTCAGCGTGTCTCGTTTAAAGGATGACATGTTGCCAAGTTTGCGCCGGGCTTCCAATATGAGCAATACTTTATAGACATTTTTTTTGGCTGGGGAAGTGCAGGCGAAGCAAGCTGAGTCTTAGGGTAGTAATCGCTCGCAACAGTCAACCAGTGACGTGTAAATATTCTTTCTAAATTGTGACATGAAAACAAGCTCTATCCGACTCTATCCCTTCAGCAGAACTCCAACTCGATCTTAGGTGCATGCTTGTCACAGGACCTCATGGTCTGTCGGCGGAGCACTTGGCGGAGCATTATGTCCAGGATTTCACTGTGCGACCGAATGTCGTGAAGTTTCTTGTTCGAAGCAAACAAATAAAACCTAGTTGCTAAGATTTCTGGTGAGTCACAGGTGAAAATTGAAACATGTCTTGCCGTCATTCGGCTGGCTCTGTGCAGGTTGGCCGCTGACCCAAAGCGCAAGGCAGATAATGCCGCTTACATGGTGCGCGCTCGGACTCGGATTGCTTTGCAAGCTGCCGCAAGTGCATGGGCACAGGGTGTGCCCTGGGCAGAGGCCCTACAGATTTCGAACAGGGCTATCGAAAAGGCGGATCCCCGTCCTAAGGCTCTCCCAAGGAGACGTCGTCCTGCGAGATAGACCGGATAGATGCAAGTATTCAGTTTAGCAGCTTGGCATTTTTTGAGGCCGATGGGCAGTAATGTCAACTGGTAGAAAGCTTTGAAGCTAAGCTGCCCAGCTGCCCGTAGATTCTGATTGAACAGGTCTCTCCGACACCAAAGTCACTTAAGGTGACAAGGGTGGGATGATTGAGCCGCCGTGCTTTTCTTGAAAAACAGAAATTTTTCAAGTTTCGAGTTTTCCGGTTTTGCAGTGTGGCGAATGTGTCTTCAGTGTTTTGTGGAATCAGGCTCGGACTGTTTTTTCAAGAAATTGAGCCAACAATCTCAAAATTCCTAAAAATTTGGGTGCGGCATGGACATTAAGGGGGCCACTCCCCCATACGGTGAAAGAAACCATGGGTCAATCCAACACTTATCAACGCTCCAGATTCAAACACAACTGGTGTTGAATCTTGGGTCGGATTCATCACTTCTGATCTCATTCACCAAGTTCTTGGAACAATGCACGGTTCCAGAACTTTCAATTTTTGATCGCGCGCCGGAAGAAGTGTCGAATCCGACCCTGCATTCAACACTTCTTTCGGTCCTCGCAGGTTGTTGAGGAAGTGTTTGATATGGATCGCTCACCGTGTTGGGAAGTGTCGGATTTGGAGTTTGCACCAGTTAGAAGTGTCGGATCTGGTATGATAGCTGCCAAGTAGTGTCGGATTCGGGTCGTGATTCAACACTTCTGGTTTGCCACGAGTCCATATCCGACACTTTTCATGTGGGGTCCGACGCTTTTGTTTTCTGAAGAGCTCCCGTTCTCAGAGTCCGACACCTCTAATTGATTATATATATCGCGCTAGGTCACTAGGAGGTTTGATCAACAAGGAGTTGTGGCGGTTCGGTTATTATGATGACTTTGACGTGTAGGTTATGGTTTTCCCAGTCTTGATGGCGAGGCGGATTCAATCAGAACCTTTATTCCCTGGTGCGACCGGCCAGCAAACTTGGTAAAGGGTTGGGTCTCCTGTTTGGTGCGTCGCATGGCAAACCGGACTCATAGCGCATTCGATTCGACCGGGTTCAGGCAGGCTGGATCTGTGGCGGGTTCAAGGGATTCCCTGTTGAACGATTCGATTGTTGAACACACCCATCGAGCTGTGTCATTCTTTTGCTTGTCACTGCGCTGGTAACGGTAGGATGACAGCGCTGGGAATAGGGGTTTGGTGTGGTGGTGACTCTTTCCATGCCCAACCTTTGTTTTTTGTCAAGGTGATCAGTCCTCTCATTAATAACACACACAAATTAAGTCACGTGCTGTTAATTCTTCTCAATTGGTTTGTGTCCTTGGAGGGAGGCTGTAGCACAAGAACTGTGATTATGTTTTGTTTTGCTGCAATGCCACTTCTCCTGGCTTGTTGCAGGACAGTAGGTTCACGGCTCGTTCAGCGACATGCCGCCGCAACGGAAGCGTAAATCCGGTGGCGCCGATGGGCGAAGTGGGAAAGCTGTGAAGGCAGACGTTCCACAGTGGGCCACTGATTTACTCACTTGGTTGCTTGTCAGATTTCTTTCGCTGTGTATAGAGTTGTTTTGTTTGCTCGACGAGAGTTGCTTGCCCAGTGCCACCCTTTTCGCCTCAGGCTGAAAGATACGGTGTTGTCACAAGGAGCTCCGGACGTGTACCTTTCCAAGAAGTATGCATGCAAGGCTTGCTGTCAGTTGTAGCTGTGGAGCAGCCTGAATAGTACATGGTTTTAAGTATTGCGAAATGGTCGAAAAGGTTTGTCTTCGGCTCGCTATGATTAAATGCTGAGAGGCATTGAAGAACGCCTTGAGTGTGAACACTGTTGGAGAAGTCATCAAGGCTTTTCATTTTGTCGAGCCACATGCGAATTTGTGTGAAGGCGGCGAAACTGGATTTCGCACAATGGCTGGACAATGCATTTCCCGGTAATCCGGAGCAACTAGGGTGCATTCTGTGACTCTTGTTCAAAGCCTTGCCGCGCTAGATTTCTGTGCAAACCACCTGTTATGGTACGCCAGAGCCTTTTTGCAAGGTACAGCTACGCGACTGAACTCAGCGGACCGGTCTTGCTGCGACCATGGCAGTTGGCGTGGCGTTCCGACTACGGCTTGGCAGCCCTTTGTGAGCCAGAGGAGTTCCTCCGACTGGCTGAGCTTGTGGTTTGCGAAGGATTCAGGCCCGTTTTTGTTTGTTGCTTTTTACATTTCCCATAGAAAAAAAGGACAGAAATGGACAGAACATTGCGACGCACTGGTTGAGGACAAACCCCGACTTGGGAGCCACGGAGAAGATCACAGTCACTGTGCCCACCAAGGAGTGGATGGTAGATGCGAAGCTGGAAGATCTTCCCGAGCTTATCCCTGGAAGCCATTCGCTCCGGAAATTTTTTGAACAATTCGATTACTTGTGATTCAAGACTCAACACAAATAGCTTTGTGGCCCTATAGTGTCACCTAATGTCAGCTGGCTTCAAACAGATAATAAAAGATATATATATATATATAATATATATATATATATCAATGTGTTTGAGGCCATTTGGTGCGCCCATTCTCCGCTGGGTACATCAAGGGCTGGCGAAGATCGTTATGTTTGCTGACGCTATGCCAGGGCATGCGTGAACTGAAGGTTGACCTCAGTGAACTGCCTATTCAGCTGAAGGTACGCACTGTGGTTTATCAAAGACCCCAAGCAGTGGTTTAATTGTGCAGTTTTTTGCTCACAAAAGCTCGCCCAACCAAAGTGAAAGTGTCAAACG